AAGAAATAGTGAGGTAAAAGAACAAGCATAGGACACGTTTCAGAAAGTGGTCTATGCTATTATCCCCAGCAGGTCTAGTGAAGGGTAAGTGGCTAAGTGGATGGAGCACAGGAAAGGTCATTTTTGGTACCATCTTCTAAGCAGATAATTCTATTTTAAGAGAATTATTTCACCAAGATGAAGTTACCCAAGAACAGCTTCAATGTCACAGGGCAAATTGGGAGTACTGCAGTGTTTTTAAAATTCATAATACATTGGCCCTAACATGTATTTACACACAATAATTTACTTTTATACAACATCTTTCCTACTGAAGGATCCAAATATGCTTTTCAAATGTAAACTCCATCTACAGTCAGAAAAGTAGGTATGTAAAAAACAGAAACCTCTATACTTTATACATTTTGGGCATCTACCATTACAAATCATAGCTACTTATTTTTATCACATTTAATTCCTGCAGGCCTTGCAAAGCTAACACAATTATGGGAGAATGAACTAGATTCTTATTCTGGCTTGCATATCAAACAGAACTGTTTATTAATTCCAACTCCACAGTCTTTGTTGCCTAGAGTAATATAATAGTAACAAAGCAAGACCAGGACTTTTAGATCAGTACGTTTACAAACATGCTAGATAGAACGGCATATTTTAAAGTGTCAAACAAAATCTGATTCAGAATCACTGAGATATGTGGATGCTCACTGAAGTTTTTGTATGTCATTTTAAAAGTAGTCACAAGAATCATTTCAGTCACCACTGAAATGCAGCTGCCCCTGTGATTAACTACTCGTACTTGTTACCAGCCAACAGTTGTTCATTGTCCTATTCAGACATGCAACTATTAGTTTAGTGCAATAGCCACATAATGAAAAGCCATCAACTCAGTTAGCACCTTATAGGGCAGTATTAGTAGAAGCGCAAAAGACTGAAAAGGAATGCAAGATGAACTATTTTCTCTCCTCCTATAGCTGCTCCCCACTGATGAGGCTGAAACATGGTGAGGGAGAAAGATTGCACAGTAAGTATTTGTAGGGTACATCTTCACTGCAGAGTTAATTCAGGAGATCAGCATCTGTGTTAGCCTAGCCCAGATGTGAGCAACCACACTGCAAAACCGTGGTTGAGTTACTGGTCCACAGTAGTGCACATACCGGTCTGAGGCTCTCGGACTTCTGAAGTCATATCACATGATTCTAAGTGCTACTGTAAGTTGTGCTAAAACATTCTTCTTTCCCAGTGGATTGTGGACATTCAGGGAAAACTATAGGAAGGAACTGGAGAACTAATCAGTACCTGAATGGTTTAGTCTGCACACTCCCTGAAAAGTGGGTTACCAGCCTCAATGTAAAATGTACTCAGGCTTTAGCCTATAAAGGCCAGATCTACACTAAAAGGGAATATTGAATCAATATACGCAACTTCAGCTAAATGAATTATGTAGCTGGAGTTGATGTACCTCGTTTCAAGTTTTCCTGCCATCCTGACACTGGGAGGCCAATGAGAGCAAAAGCTCATGTTGGCTTCCCTTACTCCTCACCGGACACCAACGTGGGCGTTCTCCAAGTTCAATTTAAGCGAGTCTTAGACTTGCTAAATCAAACTTCAAGAGTTGAACTTCTGTTTATGTATCACATAAAGCCGCTAACCTGGTTATAACCAGCATCATTTCGGGCCCAAAATTTTGTGTTCATATGGGAGCCAGGTTAACAAAAGCTGGAGTTAATTTTGTAGTGAAGAGAAGTTTGTAATGAAGCAGTTCTGTGGATAAACAGAAGTCAGTCTTCACATTCCATGCCTGTCAATCTGGCACATTTCATCAGCACTCCAGTATATTCTTACACTTGATGAACCAGTGGCCTTTATTGTTTTCACTAGGAAAAAAATATGTTTTTATTTAATACCCACATAGATCCTAGTAGACATGGCAACTTGTTTTGCCGTGTATTAGCTGGTCTAGGTAAATGCTGGTGGAGAAATTAGGATTTACCTTGACCAGTTAACACAAGAAAATTACAGCTTGCTTTGTTCACACTAAGGTTCTAATTGTGTGTTAATATGTTGTGTAAGAGCTCCTACCCATAATACTATTCTCTCCCAAAATGATATAAAGGGTAGTCTCACTGGGATATTCCATTTCAGAGGAAGGTTACTGCAAATGCTCAAAAGAAAATAAGACACTGATGCAAAAACGTCCCTTTTATTTCAAATTCTGTCAATAACCAAGTACAGTTCTGGTATACGGAAGTGCAAAATCAATGAGAGCAACTGAATTATCTCAAGGCTGAATCTCACCCTTCAATATTCCTATCAAATCCTCTGGCACGCTGGCAGGTTGCCATAATAAACAAAGGACACTTGAAAGTAAAACAGGAATTCCCCTTAAAAATATATTTGTACATTTTTCCCATTTGACTCTGTGGTTATATACAAAACAAAGAGCAATAAATAGAAATTCTGTAATTACACTGCTCATAAAAATAAAATTTTGTTTTGGATAGGACAACATGTGACATGTACCAGTTTCTCTTTTTTCACTGCTTATGAAACATACAGAGGGTGAGAAAATATATGTAACAACATAACCAAGCTGTTAAGAAAGCTTGAGTAGTCTAAAATTTATTTCGCTGTGATAGCAGAATTTCATGGATGGGTACAATGGATCTTTTTCACTGGTTTGACTCATCGATTTTTCTCCGACAGTATGGACAACAGTTATGCTGGAGCACCAGGAGCTCATAATCTTCCGAATGAAACATCTGTAAATTATTAGGAACAGATTTAGGCACATTTATTATACTGTTACTGGCTCGCATCTAGGAATAGCAAACTGAACAGGAATGGTTTTACTAGGGCTCAGAATATCTGATCCTACTGTTACAACAAAGTTGGTGTTTCCACTCTAACAAGTCATTTACAGATGTTTATGAACAGCTATAATTTGGAATACCAGAGCAATTATTTCAAGTGTAGAGGCTATGGAAGTCAGTTCACCCAACCAGTGAAACCAACTGGTCTCGGATAAAGGACGGTAGTGCTTAGGATCTTTTTCTGCTACCACAAAGCCAAAACTGACCAAACTACTAATTTTTTGAAGAAAAAACATACCTGTGGCGTGTGAAAGTATAAAGAAAAAAATAATTGTATTTGCTGAATGTTCACACTAACCCAGGCCCTAAAGTTAGAAAGGTGAAGGTATCTCTTCTTTTAGATCACCTGAGGACATTGGGGATGTTAGCAAAGATTTATTTTTGTAAACATGTAAGTGGCTGAATTTTCAAACAGTTACACATTTACATGGGGGGGCGGGGGGCTCTGATACAAAGGCAGCAGAGCAGGGAGGGAGTGGGGAGCGGAGGAGAGGTAGCTCTGAATAGCCAGTACACACAGGTTGGAAGCTGGCTTCCTGCATGTACCACCTGCCCCTCCCCCCACCTTCTGCGCTGCTGCCTCTGTGGGAGGCAGCAAAGGGGTGGAGGGAACAGCCACCTCCACAGGAGCCAGCATGCACGGAGAGCCAGCTTAAAAACTGACTCCCTGAGCGTATCAGCTCCTGCCTGTTCCCCCTCCCCTGCTACTGCCTCAAAGGCAGCAGTGTGGGATGGAGGGCAGGCGACTCTGAAGGAGCCAGAACACGCAGGGAGTTGACTTGAAAGCCGGCTTCTCATGTGTACCAGCTCCTGCCTGCCCCTTTCACCCCCCTGCGCTGCTGCCTCTCTATCGCTATTGCCTGTTTGGAAGGCAGTGGGGAAGTAGAGGAGTCAGCTGGCTCCATGGGAGCCATCTTCCCACGGGCACAGGCTTCCACCTCCCCCACCCTGCTGCCTCTGATACAGAGACAGTGAGGGGGAGGGTATGTGTAGTTGTTAGGATTAATTGATAAGTCCAGGCTAATCAATTATCGTGGAAATGACTACACACTAATATCCGTAAAGGACCTCATTGCAAAGTCCCCAAATACTTCATTCTATAATCTCAGCAACTATTCTGAAACCAGCCCTTCTGGCAAGGCCAATCATCTCTATATGAAGCACATCATCTCTGTATTTTGCTCTCTTTATTCACTATTTTGGACTTCAGAGGGCATGTATCTAGGGTTAGATATTAATGTTTCAGGATCATTCCAATTAGTTTCTCAGTAGGAATGAGTTTTTAAAGACCCCAATGAAAACATTATTTATACCTGAAAGCATGTTGGACACATGGTAATGGAAGCATCTGGTAGCAAGGACCGGAAGTACTGCCACTGTAATGGCTTTGGCCAGCGCTTAATAAGGACATCCCTCCGGCTCATTGACCGGAGAACTGCACGATTCACTATCACAGGAACAAATTCTGAGCCTCCTTGCTACAGAAGAGAATGTTTAAAACAAAGAATGAAGCTTAATAACTGCAAAGTGTTTTAAAGATGACAAAGAGTGGAATGTTATTACTCAGGAGAAAGTGCTAACACAAAGCAGGCATGGGTCCTGCTTCCATTGACTTCAATGGTAAATGTATCATTGTTCTCAGTGATATCAAGCCAAGTGTGAGTAAGGTATTTTCACTGAACTTCAC